TGGTGGATTCCTACACTGGGGCCTCCGCGCCCCCCTCCACACCCCTACGTTCCCGCACCCCCACGCCCTCGGACACCCAACCGGCGCCCAGACACCCAAAGGGGCGCCATGTAGGGATCCAACTTCAGCCGTATGGACCCCCATAGGGGATCCTGCCACAGTCACGGCCCGTACCAGGCTTCCTGTTCGGCCTCCTCCCAGGTCTCCTACAAGACACTGTCGCCCCATCGTTTCGGTCCGCCGTCGACTGAGGAAAGGATGATGATTATGATGGAGCTGATGATGATGGTGGTGGTGGTGATGATGATGGTAATGATGATGATGATGCTTCTGATAATGCTGATGATGATGGTGGTGGTGGTGGTTGTGGTGATGATCGCGGTGATGATGATGATGATGTTGATGCTGATGCTGATGATGATGGTGCTGATGATGGTGATGACGGTGGTGGTGGTGATGATGATGTTGCTGCTGATGGTGATGATGATACTGATGATCATGATGGCGATGATGATGGTGGTGGTGATGATGATGGTGATGATGTTGGTCATGATTGTGATGATGTTGCGGACGGTGATGATGACGATGCTTATGGTGGTGGTGGTGGTGGTGGTGTTGGCGGTGGTGGTGGAAGTGGTGGTAGTGTTGGTGATGATGATGATTATGGTCTCCTACGAGGCCTCTTCCCAGGTCTCCTACAAGACCCGGTCATCAGCTGGTAGGATCCCTATAGGGATCCTATGACAGCTGGCGGGGTCCATATCGGGATCCTATTACAGCTGGTCGGATCCCTATAGGGATCCGATTGCAGCTGGTCGGATCCCGAGTGGAATCCTGTTACAGCTGGTAGGATCCCCATACGGGCCCCGTTGCAACTAGTAGGATCCGTATAGCGGTACTATTGCAGCTGGGAGGATCCCTAGAAGAATCTTATTGCAGCTGGTCGGATCCTTGTAGGGATCCTATGACAGCTGGTGGGATCCCTGTAGAGATCCTGTTGCAGCTGGTCGGGTCCCTATAGGGGTCCTATTGCAGCTGGTCGGATCCCTACTGGTATCCTGTTACAGCTCGTAGGATGCCCATACGGGTCCCGTTGCAACTAGTAGGATCTGTATAGCGATCCTATTGCAGCTGGTAGGATCCCTGGAAGAATCTTATTGCAGCTGGTAGGATCCTTGTAGGGATCCGATGACAGTTGGTGGGATCCTTGTAGAGATCCTTTTGCAGCTGGTCGGATCCTTGTAGGGACCCTGTCGCAGCTCGTAGGGTCCGTATAAGGGTTTTGTTGCAACTGGTCGGGTTCCAATATGGGGTCCTATCACAGCTGGTTGGATTCTTATGGGGATCCCATTGTAGCTGGTAGTATCCCTTTAGGGATCCGAATGCAGCTGGTAGGATCCGTATAGGGACCTTTGATGCAGCTGATAGGATCCCTATAGGGATCCTATTACAGCTGGTAGGTTCCCTATAGGGATCTTATTGCAGCACGTAGGACCCCTATACGGATTCTATCACATCTGGTCGGATCTCTATGGGGATCTTATGACAGCTGGTCGGATCCCTATAAGGCTCCCGTTGCAGCTCGTCGGATGATTATAGGGATCCGCTGACAGCTCGTAGGGTCCGTGTAGGGGCTCTATTGCAGCTGGTAGGATCTCTGCAGGGATCCTATTCCAGCTGGTAGGGTTTCTGTAGGGATCCCATGACAGCTGGTAGGACCCCTGTAGGGATCTTATTGCAGCTGGTAGGATCCCCGTAAGGATCTTATTGCAGCTCGTAGGATCCCTATAGGGATCCCATGACAGGTGGTCGGACTGAGGAGGAGGATCCTTGTAGGCTTTCTGTAGGGTTCTTGTAGGCTTTGTGTAGGATCCTTATAGGATTCCTGTAGGATCCTTATTGGGTTTCTGTAGGTATAGAATTTCTGTAGGATCCTTATAGCGTTTTTGCAGGATCCATATAGGATCTATTTAGGGGCGTTATCGGATCCTTGTATTTGTTGTTTTCGTTGGGGTTGTTGTTGTTGTTGTTTTTATGTAGGATGTTTGTTATTATTGCTGTTACTGTTCTTGTTGTTGTTGGTGTTGTTGTTTGGGGGGGACCCTCGGGCACGGGGACGATTCCTGCCCCCCCTGGAGGAGAGCTCCGGAGGAACCCGAACGCTGGGGCCCAGGGAAGGTCCTTGTCCTTGTTGTTGTTGATGTCGTTGTCGTCGTTGTTGTCGTTGTTGTTGTTGCTGTTGTTGTTGTTGCAGTTGTTGCTTTTGTTGTTGTTTTTTTGTTGCTGTCTTTGTTGTTGTTGTTGATGTTGTTGTTGTTGTTGTTGTTGTTGTTGTTGTTGTTGTTATTGTTATTGTTGGACTTTCACTTCTGAAGAATAGTTATTGTTGATCCCCCCACATCGGTGCATGCTGGTTTTCTCAATCAAAGTGTGCCCTTCGACAATCGCACCCTGTTTTTTGTCAGGGAAAGTCTTCCTGCTCAAACTGTGCCTCTGGCCCCCCCCGCATTACAACAACAACGGCTCCCGCTTGAGATTTCCTCCAAGTTTAATCAGGACCCCCGCTCCCGCCAGAGACTTCCTCACAATTACTAAGGATCGGTGCTCCCGCCTGTGACTTCCTAGCAATTTAGTCAGGACCCCCGCTCCCATCTGAGACTCCCTCACAATTTACTCATGAACGGCGCTCCCGCTTGAGGTTTCTTCGCAATTTAGTCAAGACTTCTTCACAAATTAACCAAGACCCCCGCTCCCGCCAGAGAACCCTTTACATATTATTCAGGAATTGCGCACTCGCCTGTGACTTCCATGCCGTTTATTCAGAAATCGCGCTTTCGACGCCCAGGAAACATGCTGCGCCAAAGACGCTGTCACAATTTACTTAGGAATCGCGCTCTCGCCATACTCAGGCATCCCGCTTGAATGTCCCACGCGCCCGACAGTCAGGAATCGCGCTGTCGCTTGGGACTTCATCGCATTTTATTGAGGCGTTGCGCCCTCGACACTCAGGAGTCACGCTCTCGCTCTGGATTTCCTCGCGAGATTTATTTTGGAATCACGCTGTCGCTCAAGGCTTCCTCGCGATTCATGCAGGACGCACGCTTCAGCAATCCGCCTGCTCGACCTAGCCGCCTGGGCCCGCCTGTTCGGGCCTATGCACCCGATCTGCCCGTCTGGTTTTGCCCCGTGGTTTCTGCTCCTAGCCCTCCTCCTGCTATTGTCTCTCGTGCTCCATCCTCCCTTGTCCCAATTGTTCCTTCCTTCCATCCGTCCTCTCTTCCCCTGAGGTGCTGCAAGAAATACACGTTGCAGGTAAGAAAGGTATATCCCCAAGGGGATACGATCGAAGACGACGAGAGTGGATATCGAGGATTGGGGATTTCGGGTTGAGCGACACGCGGGCAGATAAAAGCGAACAGTCTTAACATTGTTGTTGTTGTTGTTGCCGTTATTGTTGCTGCTGCGTTTGTTGTTTTTGTTTTGTTGTTGTTGTTGTTGTCGTTGTCGATGTCGTCGTTGTTTTGTTGTCGTTTTTGCTGCTGTCGAATATTCATTTCTAGAGAATAGTTTTGGTTAATCTCTGGAAGCAGTTCCGCGCGCTCCCGCCTCGACGCTGGCTACATTTTCTCTGAAAACGAGGCTCCCGCGAGAGCGTTGGCTTGAGTGTTAAAGTGTGCCCTTGGAGGCCCGGCTACAACGACAACGCCTCCCGCTTGATACTTCCCCACAAATTACCCTGACACACCCTGGCCAGAGAGGCCCTCGAACTCAGGAGTGGTCCTCTCACTCAAGACTTCTTCGCAATTCAGTCAAGTTGGCGGAGGCCCAGCCACGACGACAAGGGCTCCTGCTCGATACCTCCTCACGATTTACTCTGAGAGCCCCTGGCCAGGAAGGCCCCCGAACTCAGGAACCTTCTCGCTCGCTCTCTCGTGATTCAGCCAAGTTGGTGGAGGCCCAACTACGACGACAAAGGGCTCTCGTTCGTTACTTCCTCAAGATGTATTCGCAGAGGCCCTTGCCAGACAGGCCCCCGAACTCAAGAGTGGCGCTCTTGCCCGAGATTTTCTTGTAATTCAGGCGAGTTGGTGGAGGCCCATACACGGCGACAAGTGTTCCCGTTCGACGTTTCTCAAAATCTATTCCGAGAGCCCCTGGCCTGGTCAGAGAGGCCCCCGAACTCAAGAATGGCGTTCTCCCTTGAGAGTTCCTCGCGCTTAAGTCAGTGGCCGACAAGGGAGAGATCCCCCCCGAAAGCGGGTGTGATCGAAGACGAAATGTGCGGGTATCGAGAGTTGGGGTATACAGAATGCACAGCAGTATAAGCGACCAGTGTTGGAATGATTGTTGTTGTGTTGTTGTTGTTGCTCCTGTTGTCGTTGTGGTTGTTTTTGTTTGTTCGTCGTTGTCATTGTCGTAATTGCTGTTGCTGTCGTTGTTGTTTTTGTTGTTGGTGCTTTTTTTATTGTTGTTATTGTTATTGTTCTTGTTGTGGTTGTTGTTGCTGCTGCTGTTGCTGTTGTTGATGTTGTTGCTGCTGTTGTTGTTGTTGTTGTTTTTTTGTTGATTGTTGTTGTTATTGTTATTGTGTTTGGTTGTTGTCGTTGTCGTTGTCGTCGTCGTCGTCGTTGTCGTTATTGTTGTTGTCGTTGTTGCTGTTGCTGTTGCTGTTATCGTTGTTGCTGTTGCTGTTGCTGTTGCTGTTGCTGTTGTTGTTGTTGTTGTTGTTGTTGGTGTTGTTGTTGTTGTTGTTGTTGTTGTTGTTGTTGTTGTTGTTGTTGTCGTCGTCGTCGTCGTCGTCGTCGTCGACGTCGTCGTTGTTGCTGGTGTTGTTGTCGTTGGTGTTGTTGTTGGTGTTGTTATTGTTGTTGTTGTCGTCGTCGTCGTTGTTGTTATTGTTGTTGTTGTTGTTGTTGTTGTTGTTGTTGTTATTGTTGTTGTTGTTGCTGTCGTTTGTCGTCGCGGCCTCGCTCCAGCACCCCGATCGCCGACGGCTCCAG